ATCTCTGGCAATTTGGGACAATTATTACTTAAATCCCACATATAGGGAGATGACTAATAAGAATCTCAGTCTACCACTGAGTGGGCTCCTGAGTTTAGAAGTTCTGCACATATCTGCTTAGTAATTTGCCTTTCCTGCTGCAATCTGAGGATAAGAGATACATGGGACCTCACTAATGACACATAAAGGACAAAAATTAGAGAAAGACATTGCAGACACGACACTTCTCTGTCTTATACTTTATCACAAACAGCATGTTCAGGCTCAGTCATACACACAGACATTTCAAATCCCCAGGGCTCAAGCGCATAGTCGTGCTGTGAAAATAGTAAATCCAGTTTCTTTACCCACACTGAATTCCCATTCCCTCAACCTCTCCAGGAAAGCCCAAAAGCAGACCGATATGAATGCAATATGTGCATCTTCAAGTCCTACATATGAGTTACATTACCTCTGTTTCAGACAGAACGAATTACCATGCAAATGTAGTAGAAAAAGATGTATATATATAAAACAGGATTTACTTTAAGGCACTTCCTTTTCTGGAGCATCAAATGCCAGCTACTCTAAAACCTGGGAAAAATACTACCTAATGAGAAGACATGAAGCTGAGCAGATAAGGTTTGGGTGGTAAGTTTTGGAGTTTTTTCCTTCTCTCTTTTTTTTTTTTCTCCTTTTTTTCTTTTCTTTCCTTCATTTTTTTAACATGAGTTCACAAATAGCCTTAGATCCTGCTAAATGAATGTAGGTTGCAAGAGCTCTGAATGGATGTAAAAGAGATGGATCACTACATTTTTAGTCAGTATTTGTAGGTGTTTTACAGAGGTAGCATTAAGTGCACATTTCTCCCATCATCCATGCTTTTATTTTTTCTCTAATTATCAATTTTCAGTTATAAATTTCAAAACTCTCAAGAGTATTATATGTCTCATTTAACCACCTGAACATAATACTTGTTAAAGTATTTTTGATGATTTACAATCATCAGTTTGCCTTAAAGCTTAACATAAACTCAGGAACCATCTCGCAGCCAGTTTGACTCATGAGTGATAACAAAATGAGCAATCCATATGCTTTTGAATTTATCTTTTTCTGTGAAGAACTGTTTCTTCATTTTAATTCTAATTACACTGGCAAGATCCACATCTGGTATCAAGGCAAATACTCTGACAAAAAGCACTCAGTCTTAATGAAAGTAATGACTTGCAACAGTGTTACTTTCAATTGATCTACTTATATTTTGTACATCTCAGAAACCTTCCTGTACGTTTTGCCTAAGATTAAACTGTGCTATTTGTAACATCTTCAGTAACACACCAGGTATAGCCCCTAGCTGTATGAAATGAAGTGTCTCTTCTTTGTACCCAGTTGAGACTGAAATGCATGGACTTGCAAAAGTACAGCTTGAACAGCTCCTCTAATTCTGAGAACTGATACATACCACCTTCTTAACACTTGAGCTGAAGTTTATTCTACTCCCAGTCAGCATTAAAGGAAACTTTTGGAAGACATCCATCAGGGTATTATCGGAATAGGAATCCAAATGGAACTGCACAAATTTTTACTGTCTGAGTTTATACAGGATTTGTCCACACAAAGGAAAAGACTGCTATGTAAATACATAAAACCTTAAAGTGTTTCAGTCGTGCTTTAAGTAAAAAATTCTGTTGTTGAAGAACAAAAATGTCCTTAATCTTCCACACAAATTAAAATCAAAACTATTCACAATAATAGAAAGGACTTTTCAGTTCAATGCTCCATGTTTCAGTCATGTCCAAATCAAGTGCTTAAAACTAGTTTCGATTCTATTTTTCTGAATGGTGGGGACAACTCATCAGACAACATGGAACAATTAGCAGACATTACCATGTTTTGCAAAACATGTCGATGATGGTATGGGGCTAAGAACTTGACTTTTATTTCTTTTAGGCAGTATTTAGCGTATTAGACACAGACACACAGTGACTGTTTAGAGGTCAAATAACAACCTTATATTCTATTATTTTTCTTCATGGTTATAAACAAAACAGTAATTTAGCAAAAATTAAATTAAGAAATACAGTAACAAATTAGACTTAAGGTCCATTTGCCAAGTGTCTCACAGTGGCCTAAGCATATGGAGCAAAAATTGAACCACTTTTCCACAGATATGCCCTCCTGGTTGCCGACATGCTGGGATGTATAGATTTCCTGAGCTAGAGACTGCTTCTGGGCAATGCTATTTGATTGTCACTGATAAACTTAACCTCATAAAACAGTTTAGTCCCTTTCATATAGACTTAATTCTTTAAGCTCCTGCATTGTCCTGCTGATCATCCACAACTTTGTTAGCTGGCTGTGAAAAATGTTTCTTGTTGATTTAAACATGCCAGTTCCTAATTTCAGCTGGCTATCCCTACTTCTTTTATAAGACAGTGACTAACCATTCCACATTCATCTTCTCCATTTTGTGTATTTCTGTATTATCCTTCCTCAACAGCATTGATTAAGCTGAAGAGTCTTCTGCAAAACTCATTTCATGTTCTGTCATCTTTCTTCTGTAACTTTTGGTTTTCATTACATGTAAAAATTTAAATAATTAAAAATGTAAATAACTGGGGCAGACTATATTTAGTTTTATTTGCAATACACTGTATGTCAGAGTTTATAAAGAGGAAAATTCTTTATTTGAGTGTTAAGACAGATACTAGTTTCACCCTCATAGCAAGTGTAAATTACATTTTGCCTGCACTGCAACGACTCAGCGTATTGCTGTTTAAAAACTGGAATGTGTACCAAAAGCAGAATGCACTTTTAAACTCTTAGAATACTTATTTTAATGTTTAATAAGACATTACTATCATACAAAAAAAAACTTGAAAAGGCTTAAAAGATCCTTTACAAGACTACAAATCAGACAAAACTGACTGCAAGAACTACCTATTACAGCAACTTTTGAACATGTCCATGGAAGGTACTGCACAGATCCCATGCCTTCCACTGTATTTCCATCCATCAGATCTTGACTGCTATTGATTTACAGGAGACTTTGGCATCTAATGATAAATTTCTTATTCTTTATTTGGAGAACAAGATGACAAAAATGTCCCTATACTAAAAAGCCAGAAGACAAAACAGACTGTCACAGCGCATGCAGACATTTCTTTCACTCAGTAGCACACAGGGCTTTGAGCGGGATGAAAGATTGCTCCTCTGATGCATAGATGCATGCAGTAAATTTGTTAGAAAATCTTTGGTATAAAGAATTAAAAAGCCGTGAACATAAAATTAACTCTGTAAGAAGCAGTCACCCCAATAAAAGACTTCTGATTTTCAGAACAGGTGTCATGAGTCCTATACTTAAAAAAAAAAAAAAAAAAAAAAGGCAAGAAAGAAAAATGAAGAGAAGCATCTGAAACTGTAACAGCAGCTTTTGATTTCCAAACATTGGACTTCCATATTTCATCGTCTTCATTTCTGAGCAAATAAGGAGCAGTATGAAGACCCCAAAAGAGGCTAGGGAAGAGGAAAAAGTGCCAAGAATAACTTCAATCTTAAAATAAAATGAAAAATCATGCATATAGTTTAGTTTTGCAGTACCTTCTCACAAAAGCAGAACAAATAATTTATGAAAGCCTGTAACTGGCTCTCTAGAAGTGCACACCAGGCATCCTATGAATGTAAGAGCTCAAGTTATGCATCCATATGCCAAAACAAATAAGTCTATGACTGGACTGTTTATAACAGTTTTGATCTTTTTCATGTTTCAGTACTCCTACCGAAAAAAAATCAACATGCAAACAACTTCCAAACACTGTATTGAAAAAAGATTTTGGCAATAGTACTTTTAAAAAAAAAAATGGCATGACTAATTACACTGTGTGTAGACTCTTAACCTTAATCAAATTCCACAGAAATTTAGCATAAACATTTATTCAAATCACATTAATACCTGACGTATGTATCTGAGCAAACGGATAATCACATACCCAGTTTTTGGGAGGCTGTGATAAGGATGAGAGTCATACAGATGAATTTGGTTTGTACTTTCATTTACTTATTTACACATATGCATGTGAATACTACTGGGTCAGACTCAGCCCTGTTACTGAAAATGCACTCTTTGATATCACAGCTTAATATAAATTGTGAAACTACTATATTTTTCAAATAAAAAATAATTTTTAAAGTGAAAATTCATTCTTCAAATCACATTTAAAAACACACAGCTGATAATATATATAACTTCCATATTTACATTTTTACTATAGATTACCATACAAATTGCTTATGCTTGCTCTTATGCACCCTGACAGGAATATTATCTTGAACAACTCAAAACTAATTCTTATTGCAGACATACAACAGATTTGGAGTAACAGAAACACAGAAATTAAACAAAAAGTTCATTTTTAAACATTCCATAAAGTTCCTGGAAAAAAGATATTTTTGTCCCTCGGTGTATTTTTCTCATAGTTTGGACATCCCCATTTTAGAAGTTTCAAATTGCAAGTTTCCTATAACCTTCTGTGGGAGACTGTTTATATCTATAAAACTCCCCCCCCAAAGAAGTCTCTAGATTAACCTCTGTCACATAATGATTTAAGGCAGCCTGCATCCCGTCATGCCAAAAAGATCTGTTCTATTGAGCTGTCAAGTACCAATTTGTCTGGCAACTTCAAAGGTAAACATCTTTCCATCATAACAAGTATTTAACCATGAGGAACCTCATTTTTCAAATTATTCTGAGGCAAAGAGTAAAACCTCTGGGGTAGCATCTACTGTAGCTCTGGCAATTGCCACTCATTAAATTTCCATGAAGTAACTAAAAAATGTATGCAGCTTTTAAACATCAAGTTAATATTTCATTTTTTTCCATTTTGAATGATTCACTTACAAGAGGAAAGGAAACATACTAACCTAGCCCCCTGTTGCATCTCCATAATAACTAACAGCAAAACTGTCAAATCCTCACAAAGTAGCAGAATGAATGTAAGATGTCTTTTTTTCTTCTTCTTCTTTTTTTGGTACAGCACAAAACACTTACTTCGAAAGAAGCGGCAGAGCCTTACCTTGGCTGAGTGCTCCATGGTGACAACCACTTTGGTCTGCGCACTGGATACCAGGTCCATGGCACCCCCCATTCCTTTCACCATCTTACCCTAAAATTAAATTTTTAATGGAAATGTAACATTTTTACTATTTAAAAAAAAAGATTGAATATATTGGCTGCAATGACAGCACAAGATATTCACCCTCTCCCGCATAGATGGCTCACCTATTTCATCACCACTGTATTCAAACACTAATAGAACTTTACCAGAACAAAACCAGCTTCTCATTCTAAGCTCTATAGGAAGCAAATAGGAGAAGAATGATGAGTAGAGTAAGGATCCACCGCCGCGGCTGGTGCCCTGATATGTAACTTAAATCTGAGTAGTATCATTGGCTTAATGGAAGCCCTGACACTGAGGAGCAATTAATTTAGTTCCAGTGGTTCTGACATGAGAAAAGCAAAGTGTTCATTCTGCTGTTGATAGAAATGCCATTATTTCCTCAAAAGAAATCTTTGCTTATGAAACGTAGCTACAAGAACATCTGAGCACTCTCCACCTGCCAGTTTAGAAAGCCGTGGCTCATATCACTGTATCAGCACAAACCGATCTTTTTGTTCTATTCCAAATGTCTGTGGATGTCATTTCAGAACATGGGCAAATAAATGAACACAGATCAGTATTCACTTCTGTTTGTACCACAAACCAAGCAATGCTTTCTGTCTCTGTAACTTATTCTTCTCTTAAAGACTGTCAGACTTGCAGCAGCTGTATTATGGCTTGGTATTCAGCTACCTCTATTTTTACTTTCCATAATGCTACAGCATTCAACCCCTGCCTGCTTCCACCACCTTAAACTGAATGCATCTGATCTTGAAAGGTAAAAGGACCAGATTTGGCACTTCTGATAGGAAATGACCATAAGTATAAAGTTCTATCAGTATAAGTAGAACAGTCATTTTTGGATGACAAGCACTAGACCCCAAAAAAAATCAAACAAGGCAACAACCTCATATGCCACTCCAGAGTTGCTGAGGAGGGCAGAAAGCAGAGTGGGACATCAAGGCACCTGCATGATAGGGGAGGTTAGTAGGAAACACAAGGCAAGGAATTTTACATATTAAAATAAGTTAATTTCTGTCTCAAGTGTTTTGTTTTTGCTCTCTTTTGAACTTGTTATTATCTGTAATTAAAATAAATTATGCAATACAGCATCACTTTTTTACATATAAAACCTAAAAGAATATGGTTAAATGACTGGAAAACTAGTATAAAGCTTTTCATTCTTTTTCCAACTATGTGATTCAGTACCTTACTAGTACCAGTACCTACAGTCCATGATATAAAACATATGGAAGAGACTTGTCTCATTAAGCTGCCAGGCCAGCAACTTACTAGTCTCTTGATCACTATGGTCTCTTGATCGTAATGAAGGGAAAATACACAAACCCTCCTCTCAAAAAAATTATATCTTCTTACTATTTGAACAGTGAAGAATAAATCACATCTTTCTATATCTATAAACAACCCCTTTGGAATTTCTCAAGTCAGATTAATATTTAATATTGATCACATTAATTAACATTACTACTAAATAATACTTTGCAAATACAAACCTGAAAGGGATAAGAGGTTTTACCTCTGTCCTTAACTTCCTAGCACTGCTCAGATCATTGTCTATCCTACCTGGAAATACAGAGCTCTTATAGAGATTGCAGTGACCTCCCATCTGCCTGCCAGAGGCTCTGACAAGATAATGCAGAGAAGCTGGAAAACACAGATTATCTCCCCAGTAACTCAGCATATGTTTGCACCAAGGATTATGCTATCAATACACCTGCCCTGACAATGCCATTAGTTCATTTTCCAGGCCTTTTAGTTCTATTAACTAGTGAAGACCTACAGCAACCAGGAAATACCTGAAGAAAGAAGTGCCAATGAAGGACAATGACAAATCTACTGCTGGAGAAGCTGTCATACAGGATGTTGTGTATGCAGAAGCAGGAAAATGCAAGTTAAGTTGAAGACAATGTCTTAGGGACCTTTAAATTGCTACATCTGCTCCTCCTCTTTAGGCAAACATACTCATCACTAGTAGGGTGCCTGGTAAAGCAAATCAATTAAGCATGAACTCCAACTAGCCAAGTAATTACATGCTTTTATTTTGAAGTATTTCCAAAACATAAGAGCTTTACATCGCTCTCAGTGCATCTACCAAATTCCCACAACTCGCACTTTCCCCCATGCCATACTGGCATAGGGGAAAGCTGCATCCTAAATTTGAATTAAAATTCTCGAGACTAAAGAGTGATTCCCGAAAGACATTCTGTTCCTTTTTGCTTAGGATAAGCATGCAGACCAAAACAGTTCTGATATTTATAAACACTGCCTATTTACAAGCAACAAGCAATTTCTGTTTCTATTAAATTTTAATAGCATGTTTAATTGCATCTGATATGTCACACTGCTTTATTTGAATACTTTGCATGTAAAAGGCAGTCTGTCACAAAAATAAATATTTTCCCCTCCTGAAGACTGCTTGCAACAGCCAACTCTGCTGTGAAATATCTGAAAAAAAATGAATTTGGTTTAGACTGCTGGATACTAGCTGAAGCGGGAAGTGTACATTTCACTTCAATAAAATGTTAATTTTTATTTATTTTTGATTGAACAGGGCAAATCGCAGACTGTAAAACTCTTGGTTTACTTGACTGGTTCACTCCTGGTTACTTGATAAGACATTTAAGTGTAATGTAATAACCTGTACAAAGCTCAGCTGTCAACTGCTGTAAATGAGTCATAACATTAAAAAAAAAAAAAAGGATGTATTTCAAATACTGCTAAAGTACATTTGCAGTTTTCCCGCTCCTTCTTACCATGTTGGGAAGGTCCAGGTTTTGCTTACCCCACCCCCATTTCCCCATTCATTTAAGATTATTTTTGTTAGTCCCTAGTTACATTGGTGCTGCTAGCTTAAGAAACCAGAAGGAAAGACTTAGTTCAGTGGTAGAGCACGGGTAATTTGAAGGACTGTTATAAAGCCCACTTCACCAGCAAGAGCTTGAAGGACACTGAGGTGCTGGAGAGGGTACAGAGGCACGCTGCCAAGCTAGTAAAGGATTTGAAGCATGTCTCATATGAGAAACAGCTGAGGGATCTGAGGCTGTTTAGCCTGGGAAAGAGAAGGCTGAGGGGAGACCTTGTCACTCTCTACAACTACCTGAAAGGAGGCTGAAAGGAGGCTGTAGTGAGGCGGGGCTTGGTCTCTTCTCCCTAGTAACAGGGAATAGAACAAGGGGAAATGGCCTTAATTTGCACCAGGGGAGGTTCAAGCTGGGTATTAGGAAGAATTTCTTTACTGAAAGGGTTGTCAGGCATTGGAACAGCCTGCCCAGGGAGGTGGTGGAGTCACCATCCCTGGAGGCATTTAATAGACGGGTAGCTGTTGTACTTAGAGACATGGTTTAGTGGTGTTGGTAGAGCTAGGAGAAAGGTTGGACTTGATGATTTTGAAGGTCTCTTCCAACCAAAACTGTTCTATGCTTCTAAGTGAGAAGAAAAGCTTTTTGAATTAGCCATGTGCTTCCTGGGAGGTCCAGTGTTGGCAATATTTACAGAGGGTTAGGTAGAGGGCAGAAACAAGCTGACAGTTTCCTTGTAGCTTCTCAGTTACCATAAAAGGTCCATACCGCAAGGAGAAATTCTGCTTTTCCCATTGTGCTTCATCAGCAGTTCCTGATAAGTCTCAGTCCAAATAATCCTGGGATGTAAGAGGTGGAAATTCACAGACCTGATGGATTTTTTTTATTTTTTATTTTTTAAATAAGATATTCAGCTCTTCTGAATGTAGTGATAGGACAAGGGGTAATGGCTTTAAACTTTAGCCCAGACCAGGACAAGAGGAAATTTAGATTAGATATAAAGAAGGAATTCTTCACTCTGAGGGTGGTGAGGCACTGGCACAGGTTGCCCAGAGAAGCCGTGGCTGCCCCCTCCCTGGCAGTGTTCAAGGCCAGGTTGGATGGGGCTTGGAGCAACCTGGTCTGGTGGAAGGTGTCCCTGCCCACGGCAGGGGGGCCGGAACTGCATGATCTTCAAGGTTCCTTCCAACCCAAACCATTCTGTGATCCTGTAACTATGACACCTAGATTAGATTTTACTCTGAGAATATGACTGAATAAACATTACCAAGAAACACTAGGAAATCATTAACGGGATTTTTGAATCAGTAGAGTTGATAATGCAACAACACAACAAAGAGTTAATACTCGTTGAATGCCACAAAGCTGAAGACACTCTACATGCACAACAGGGTAAGAAATTTTTTAAAGGACGCACAAAATAAAGATTTAGTGGTATGGCTTAGCCATACAGAAAATGACCTGATTTTCAGGAATGCTAACCAGGTATCTCTTAATACACACACTTAATGAAAAGCAAAATTAAAAAGTAAACATAATTTTTGAAAGAATGGTGAGTGACTGATAACTTCTTGGCAAAATTTATTAATAACTTTTCCCTAAAATGTAGCATGTACAAATATGTGCACTAACAATATTTATATTTTTACTTTAAATAACCAGAAAATTAAAGCAGCATAAAACATGTGCAAAGGTTCTGCCATAAAACTAACTTGAAATAATCGAATGACTGAGTGAAATTGAAATGAATACACTGAGAAATTGCATCTCAGGAGCAACTCAAAACAGTCTTGTGACATGCTTCATTGAAATCGATTTGCTTTACAGTGATGAATGTTATTTCAGACTAGTGGGACAGTTAAGCCTTCCATTTACTTTTGCATACCATTTCCAAAACACAGAGCTCAGTATGCAATAATTAAATATCACTGCCAGCATAATACTGGTCTCACTTGAAAGTGATGGTTCCATATGGTAGTCAAAATTGTTACCACTAACCCACAGATCAGGAGTCTTTTGACATATGCTTGTATTTTTGAGACAGGCAGAATTTCTTCAGCTGCTCTCATTATATAGATGCCTCATGCATAGCCACCACTTCCCACATTGAAAATTTAAGACAGCATGAATAAAATACCAACAGTGAGCTCCTACACTACTTCCATGCAGTCTGAAGAGAAATAAACA